AGTTCTGCGTTATCTAAATGCATTAATCTCTAAGCATTACAACTAGAAATGAAGTAACAAACGAATAAATAAATATCATCAAATAAAATTGCTAATATTAATTAATTAATCATTAATCTTACATATAAATTTAGCGGAATTTTCAATTAATTTTCTAATTAAATTTATCATTTTGATTATTTTATTCCTTATTTATTTTATTTTTTTATGAAAAGTATTTTAACATTAATAAAAGTAAAAATAATTCCTTCTTCAAATAACTTCTTTTTTATTTTTTTTACTAAAAAAATTTTAAAATCAAAAGCAAAAATGAAATTGAATTTGAGAGCATGTAAAATTTAAGTAATGCTTTAGCTAAATGCACTAATCTCTAAACTTTGGGTCTTGAAATCAAGTAAAAAATATCCTAAAATTTGTTTTAGTTTTTTAGTTATTTTTTTTGAAATTAAAAAATGTTTAATATCAATGTAAAAAACATAGATAAATTTGTGTCAGATAACTTAATTAATTATTTTAATCATTATAAATCAATTTTTGTTTCTTTATTTAATTTATTCTTTCTTTTTATTTAACTTCTTCTATTTTTTTAATAATAATTTAAATCTATCTCTAATTTCAAAAATAGTGATGAATTAAATGACCAATCTGTATCAAGTCTAAGATTAGCTTTATTATAATTAACTAGACTCTCGGTTTTGAAACTCGACCTAAAGTAAATTTCCTTTTTTATTAGAGAATCTATTTATGAATAATTAAAAGCAAGCAAATCAATTTTTTTATCATTTAAATTTTTATTTTAAAATTAAATTTATTGATTTTTAAAAAATATTTTCTTCAACGAATTTTTACAACAAAAATAAAAAGTAATAATGCAATTGGATTATTAGGTGTTTAAAGTTTAGCTTCTGCTCTAGAGAAATAAGTCAATTTAAAAACTTTGAAACTTTATTTAAAGTAAAAGATTATTTATTTATTTAGTTTATTTTTATTTGCTTTCTAAATGTATGTATATTTTTATCAATCTATCTTTTTAAACAATAAAAATCTTAATTTTTATGATTAAGAAATTAAATTAGTTATCTTTCATTTATTTTTAAGTAATAGCTTTTATTCATTATTATAAATACGATTAATTAAATTTGAAAATATATGGCTTTTTAAAACCATTCTTTTATTATACTACTCTTTTTTTGAAGATAAATGATTATTAATACTTACTTAAAAGTTATAACAATATTTCTGAAGAGGGAACTTTTATTTTAAGTAAAGCTATTTCAAACTGCATTAATCTGTCTACTCTAGTGCTAAGTATACGGTAAAATTTAATTGCTTTAATGATAATTTCTGTCCAGATTTAATTTATAATTTTTCATTATTCTTATTTTCAAATTTCTCTTTTTGCTAAATTGATAAAATTATGAATAAATTATTTTTCTGACTTAAAAAAAGTAATAAAAATAATAGCCTTCATTTATTTGTTTAAAAATGAACATAAAAATTATTTTAATAATAATTTCTTTCCAGATTTAATTTAATATACATACTTATATAATTATTTACTAATTCTTCTTTTTTCTAATTTGATGAATCAATTATTTTTCTGACTTAAAAAAAGTAATAAAAATAATAGCCTTCATTTATTTGTTTAAAAATGAACATAAAAATTAATTTAATAATAATTTCTGTCAGATTTAATTTATATTTTAGATTATTCTTACATAATTATTTACTATTTCTTCTTTTTTCTAATTTGATAAAATAATGAATGAATCAATTAATTTTCTGACTATAAAAAAACTAATAAAAATAATAGCCGTCATTTATTCGTTGAAAAACGAACATAAAAATTGTGTTCAAATCTAGCTAAATGCACTGAAATACAAGATTTATAGTTAATTCTTGAGTAATTAAAATATATTTATTCAACATTATTATTCCTATTATTTTTTTCATTTCAAACAATTACTTTATATTATTTTTTAGTTTTATTTCTATTTATAAAAAGCGGATACTAAATTGGATAAGACGGCATATTTGAGTTATGTTAAATATTAACAAATTGTAAAAAAATATCATCCTTATCACTTGATCTTAGGTAAAATAATTATTTATTTATTTTAAATGGTTCATTTAGCATTTTTATTTGACTATTAATATTGGAATAATCTTTTTTTACTATTCGTAATGAGTTATTAAAAAAAAAATTTTTTTTTACTTATATTTAACTAAATAAACGTTTTAATTTGTGGATGGATATTAATAGTATTAGTATTATTGGAATAGAAGGTGCAAAAATCTTAAGTTCAGCTTTGAAACAAGTTGTTAATATCTCTACTTTAGAATTAGTTTTTAGGTAATAATCTTATTTTCCTTTTTCATCTTTATTTAGTATGTAATTCTTCTAATTTAAGATAATAACAATAGTTTTTTAAATAAAATATATAACTAAACGCCTAATTAAAATCTTGTGTTATGGCAACCTCTAGACGTTAATTAGGACAAAACAACAAGGAAAGTATTTTATTGAATAAAAATGAATTTAAAAATGCTCTAGAAATGTTATTTATTGTTAAAAATAAAAATATCTTCTTTGGTTTTTTTAATTGATAAAATAAAATAATTGAAACACTTTAATCTAGTTTCAAACTATTGTAAATGAATTAATTTTTTTTACACTTGTAGAAAAGTTTTTAAAGAATGTTTAATTATTTCCACAAAGTAAAATTAAAAATAAATTATAAAAGAATATTTTTTTTCTGTTAAATTTAAATGAATTATTGTAGGATAAAATTTTAAATCATTTATTTTGAGTTAAAATGTGTGTGTTTGACTTAATCACTGTACTTTTTTCTTTTATTTATAAATATATTTCTAATAAATTTAAAGTTATTCTGATATTGGCTAAGATGGTATAGAGTGTATAACTTCTAGTTTAGAAAACAATAAGAATTTATCTAGCTTATAACTAACATTTTAGTAAGATTATTAACACTATGAAATATTTATTGATAATTATTATTTATTTACTAAATACTTTTAATTTAAGTGAAAGAAGTATCGCATAATTCGCACTTTAAAATCTTAGCTAAAATCTATCTAAATTTAATAATCTCTCTACTTTGAAACTTACTTTGTAGTAAAAATATTTTTATTTTTTAAATTAATTAATTAGTAATTAATATTCACAATTCTTTTTATTTGAAATATTTTTTCTTCTTTATTAATATTTGTTTTAATTTTATTTAAGATTTGATTAAATTGAAGAAGAGAGTACATCAAGCTTAGGTTTTACTTTATCAAATTTAACAAATTTATCTACTTTGCATCTTGAACTTAAGTAAAATATATATTTCTAAATTTATTAAATTTGAGAGAGATATTTATTTTGTGTTTTTTTTGATATAAATATTTTAATTTGATTTTAAATAAAAATCAAAAAAAAACTTTTTAATAGTCATCAGGAAATTGGAGATAAAAGTATGGAAGGATTAAGCTTTGCTTTTAAAAAGACAAACATTCTCTCACATTTATTTCTAGACTTGAGGTAAATACATACATACATACATACAAATATTATTAAATATAATTTGGATTCTTGTTTTTATTAAGTAGTTTTTAGAATATTAATTTTAAAATTTTATTAAAAGGTATAATAAAATTGGAAACAGAGGTTTATCAAGTTTAGCTCTTGCTTTAGAAAATTGTTCCAATCTTTCAACTTTACTTCTTTATTTTAAGTAAAAACGAATGTTTGATTAACTTCAAATTATTTTCAATAAAATCAAAAATGAAAAATCAATCATATTTTTTTATTTATTATTATTTTTTACAATTTAAATTACTTATTATTTTTTATGAAATTTAATTTGCCTATTTATTCAAAAAATATGTTTAGGTAGAATTAAATTGGATCTTAAGGCATATTAGATTTAGCTTCCGGATTAAAAAAATGCACTAAAATTTCAAATCTGACTCTCAGTTTTATGTAAAAATACTTTATTTATTTATTTAAACAATTTTATCATAAATGAATGTAAAAAACAAACTATTTAATTAATATAAATTTTAATTAAACAAATAAATCAATTTAATAATGAATTTTTAAAATATAAAAATTTTTAATTGTTTTTTTTATATAAATCAATAAATTTTTGTTAATACTAATATAAATAATAAAATTTCAAATAAGTTTTTTTTATTTTTAATTTATTATACATTATATGTAAAAAGACAATATTTTCTAATTAAATTAAAATTTTTTAGAATGACTTCTTTAGTTTAGATTAATTTTAATATTTTTTAAAGAATAAATTCTATTTGTGATGAAGGTGTTTAAGGTTTAGGTTTAGCTTTAGCAAATTGTGCTCATCTCACAATTTTACAACTAGAATTAAGGTAAAATAAATAGTTATTTAATTTATATGTAAACGATATATGATCTTAATGTTTAATTAAAATAAGTTCAAACTTTCTTCAATATTTATTTGACATATACCTACATATTAATTAATTTATTGAATTTGGATTTTTTTAATTTCTTCATTTTCTTCTTGAATTTAATTTTCATATTTAAACTTAATATGTTGAAGTGGCAATAAAATTAGCTATTCTTGTGCATCATAGTTAGCTCTTCAATTAAACAGTTGTGCTAGACTATCAACGTTTATATTTTAGCTAGTGTAATAAAATTTTGTTCTTTTTTTATTATTTTTACTTTATAAAGCAAACAAGTAAATAAATAAATAAAATTTTATTTTATTTTTTGCTAAATTATCTATTAACATATATAATTAAACAAAAATTTTATTTTATATTATTTATGTTTTTTTTTAAACGAATCTTTGTCGTGAAATATAATTCTTTTTTTAAAAAAGCATTAAGGATATGGATGAAGCATAAAAGTTATAACTAAGAAAATAATATTGCAAAATAAAAAGATTAGTGAAAAAGTTTATTCTTATATGATTCAACTGAAGATTATATTTTTAAATCAAAACCGTATTTTAATTAAAAAATTGTATTAGAAACATTCTTGTATTAATTCAAAAGAATTTATAACGTGTATTAAAATTATTTTTACATATTTAAACGATAAAATTTTATAAATAATTTACTATAAATCTAAAACTTTTGAAAATTTTAAAAATTAAATAAATAATTTTAAATTAATTTATTATCCAAAATATGATAAAACCATAGATTAGAGATGAAACAAGTGCTTAAACTATGAGAGTTACTATTAAGTAAATTTAATTTTTAAATTTTTTTATATTTTATAATCTATTGATTAAATTACAAATATATGAATAATATTTATAAATTATAAAAACAAGAATACAATCTATCTTTCGATATTATAAATTATTTAAACATTTAATTTTTATTATTCCTTATTTCACCACTTGTTAATCATCAGAATTATATTTTAAAAGCAACTAATCTTTTTGATTTAATACACTTGCTTAATACTTTGAATTTTTATGATTCATTGATTAAGTTAAAACTTTTTTTATAAACTCGTATAAATTTTAAATAATTATTAAATAAAATAAACTTTTAAATTAAAAATTATTTCTTAAATTAATAAATTAAATAATATTAGTACAATAAAAAAGATAAATCAAATAAGTTTACTTTTTTGTTTATATTAATTTTAATAATTAAAAATATCACAATCCAAAACGAATAAATTATTTTTACCCAAAATCAAGGGTCAAATTTGAGAGATTAATGCAATTTGTTAAAGCAGAACCTAATCCTGATGCACCTTCATCGCCAATTTAATTATTACTTTTTAAATATTGCAGAAAAAATATATCCTTAAATAGTTAATTAGAAGGAAAAAGTGAAGAAAAAATATGAAATAATAATAAATAAATAATTAATAATAAAAGAAAAAGTTAAAAATAAAATAATGAGTTAAATTAAAAAATAAAGAACAAAAAAAGAAAGCATTATAAAAAGAAAAAGAAAAAAGAGCTTTAATGTTTTAAATTAGTTTTTATAATTAAAAATATCGCTATCCAAGACAAATAAACAGTTTTTACTAAAGTTTAAGTATCAAATTTGAGAGATTAATGCAATTTGCTATAGAAGAACCTAAGCTTAATGTACCTTCATCACAAATTTAATTGTATCTTTTTAATATTGAAGAAAAATATGAAATTAAAATTGTTAATTAGTAGGAAAAAGTGAAGAAAAAATGTGAAATAATAAGATTAATTAATAATAAAAGAAAAATTAAAAATAAAATGATGAGTTAAATTTACAAAAAGAGCAAGCACAATAAAAAGAAAAAGAAAAAAGAATTTTATTTTCTTTAATTAGTTTTTATAATTAAAAATATCACAATCCATAACAAATAAGTATTTTTACCTAAGATCAAGTGTTAAATTTGAGAGATTAATCCAATTTTCAAATGCAGAACCTAAGCCTGATGCACCAAGGGCATTAATTTAATTGTACCTATTTAAATATAGAAGAAAAAATGAATAATTAAATAGTTAATTAGAAGGAAAATGTGAAGAAAAAATAGGAAATAATGAGATTAATTAATTAATAATTAAAGAAAAAGTTAAAAATAAAATTATGAGTTAAATTAACAAAGGCAGACAAAAAAAGCAAGTACAATAAAAAGAAAAAGAACTTTATTATTTTAAATTAGTTTTTATAATTAAATATTTCACTCCAAAACAAATAAATTGTTTTTACTAAAGATCAAGTGTCAAATTTTAGAGATTAACGCAATTTGCTAAAGCAGAGCCTAAGCCTGATGTACCTTGATCACCAATTTAATTGTACCTTTTTAAATATTGAAAAAAAAGTACATTATTAAATAGTTAATTAGAAGGAAAAAATGAAGAAAAATATAAAATAAAAAGATTAATTAATTAATGATAAAAGTAAAAGTTGAAAATAAAATGATTAGTTAAATTAACAAAGAAAGAACAAAAAAAGAAAGCACAATAAAAAGAAAAAGAAAAAGAGCTTTATTGTTTTAAATTAGTTTTTATAATTAAAAATATCACAACCCAAAATAAATAAATTATTTTTACCCAAAATCAAGTGTCAAATTTGAGAGATTAATGCAATTTGTTAAAGCAGAACTTAAGCCTGATGCACCTATTGCACCAATTTTATTGTCACTTTTTAAATTTTGAAGAAAAAATAAAAAATAAAATAATTAATTAGAAGGAAAATATGAAGAAAAAATATGAAATAATAAGATTAATTAATTGATAATAAAAGTAAAAGTTAAAAATAAAATGATGAGGAAAATTAACAAATAAAGTACAAAAAAGAAGAAGAAAAAAGAGCTTTATTGTTATAAATTAGTTTATATAATAAAAAATATTGCAATCCAATACAAATAAATATTTTTACCTAAGTTTAAGTGTCAAATTTGAGAGATTAATGCAATTTGCTAAAGCAGAACCTAAGCCTGATGCACCAAGTG